TTTGGGCAGAATTTCCCCAAACCCTAGTCATCAAATAAGAAAGGGGAAAACTTCTAAAACATGCTAATCATCCATGATTTCACCATAATCTCAAGTTGTTAAGCTTAATTTAACAAGATTGAAAGTAAAACTTGGAGAGATAAGTTCTCTTACCTTGGTTAGAGGTCACTAAGAGTGGCCCAAGCTTCCTTCTTCCAAAAGCTTACCACAAATCACCACTTAATCACTCAAGAACAAGTTTAATCGATTTACTTTGTTTATTTTCTCACTAAGTTGTTGGATTTGAAGATGAAATGAAGAAATTTCTCTTGGTGTTTTCTTCCCTCTCCCTCACGGCTCCTTGGCAGAAATATCAAGAGAAATGAAGCTAAGTTTGTCTTATAATGAAGCCAAAAGATTAGAACTAATGGTGTCCACAAATTGCCCAACACTTGGCCTAATCTTGGCCACTCATTTTTCTCTTTCTTTCCCTTGCTTATAAGCCACAAATTTCGGTCCCCTTAGCTGTAATATAAGAAGATATTTTGCTCAAATGTCAATGAGCTTGTAGGGTAAGAAAGTGGTGGTCAAGTGGTGCGTTCAAACGGTAATGCGCGGGACCGCCGGTTCGCGCCGTTTTTCTTAAAAACTCACGTACTAGGGTTTTTACTTCCCATTCACTAACTTTATATCATTGCTACTAATCACATATTATTTCTCACTCAAAAGTCACTTTTAATCTCCAAATTTAATCCTTACTCTGTACCGAAAATTCATCCGGCGAAACATCGCGAAAACCCTAATTTTGCTCCAAACTTGAAACCGAAGCGTAAAACCTTATTTTCTAGGTTTATTTACACTTATCATGGAATAATTGGATAGTAGGGCTTTAATAAATGATAATCTTCAAATAAAAAGAAATTTTTAAGAAAACGTGAGGAATTTTCCAATTCCAGTAATTAAAATTAGGGTTTCAATTAAAATAGGAGAGATTTAGGAAAACCGGTTAGTCACAAGTAAATTAGGGTTTTTGGCTACAATATTAGGGTTTCTAGTCTTTTAAACCAAAATAAGGTTTTAAATCAACCCAAAGAAATACACTTTAATATTTCTTCACAAACAACCTCCTAATATTCGGGATGTTACAGTTAGTCCCAATAAAGGTGAGCGATACTTTCTAAGATTTCTCTCTATCTCATATTCATGTGCCAAAGTCATTTTACCATCTTCTCACTGTCAATGGACAACTTGCATCTTCATATTGAGAAGCTACCTTTCGAATAGGCTTGCTCCAATCTGATACCTACACAGAAGACACATTTGCTGAAGCCAGTGCATTTCATATGCCTTGTTCACTTAGATCCTTGTTTGCAATGTTACTTGTTTTTTGTACTCCTTCCAATCCTATTAGTTTATGGGAGAAATATGAGGCTGACTTATCCAATGATTTAGAAAGAACGGGCTTTACTAATGGCTATGATTCTGGCTTATATTAGGAGATGTGTGCTGCAGGACATAAATAGATCATTGGAGCAGATGGGTAAACACATAGGTGATTATCATCTGGTTCTTGATGATCTTCTATTTACTGACCATGAACGTTTGACCAAGGAAATTGAAAGTGAGTGAAATGTTTTCTTTACAGAGGATGATTTGCTAACAGTTTCTCGACTGAACACTGGTCAGAAAGTTGCATATAATGCTATTATGTCAGAAATCTTTTAGCCTGATAGCAAGAGCTTCTTTGTGGATGGGCCTAGAGAAACAGGCAAAACCATTTTGTATCATGCCCTGCTTGCTACGTTGCGGACACAGGGTTATATAGCATTACCAGTTACATCATTCGGTGTAGCAGCATCTATTCTTCTTGCAGGAAGAACTACATACTCACGATTTAAAATTCCTCTTGATGCATCAATTGCTAAGACTTGCCAGATTAGTAAGCAGAGCTCGACTGCTAAACTGATTTTTATGGCCAAGTTAATCCTATGGGACGAAGCTTCAATGGCGAAGCGAGAAACCATTGAAGCATTTGATCTGCTCCTTAAAGATATCATGGACAGTGATAAGCCGTTTGGTAGTAAAGTCATGGTTTTTGGCAGTGACTTTCGTCAGACTCTCCCGGTTATTCAAAATGCAACGAGGGATATTCAGGTTCAAGCCAGCTTTGTCAACTCTACTTTGTGGGGTAGTTTACAAAAAGTTTCTCTAATAAAGAATATGCGGGCTTTTCTGGATAAATCATTTTTAGAATTTCTTCTTAGAGTAGGAGAAGGAACTGAACCGGAGAATGAAGATGGGCGAATATCTCTAAGCAATAACATATTAGTACCATATGATAACAAGGATAGTTCTCTGGACAGGTTATGTTCTAATTCATACCTTTTATATATATTAGCATGCAGTGCTGCATTATAATAGTGTCGTGGGTATTAATATGTGTACGGTTATGTGTAAAATCGTACAGTTACGTATTACAACAGTATCATAGGTTATCCTACCTAAAATAATATTTGTCCTAACAAGATCTTTGATCACACGGGTTAATAGAATCAGTGTTTTCAGACTTACGGATTTATTCCTTGGATCCCTATCTAATGATAAGTAGGTGTATCCTCTCCATAATGAATAGTTCAATTGATGATGTAAACCAGATGATAATTGATCAGGTTAACCTTATACTTATATGAGCACTGATAGAACACTTAATGAGCGAGATCAAGGAGATTATGAAGATTTTCTTAATTCTTTGAATCCAAAAGGCCTCTATCCTCATAAATTAATCTTAAAGGATAACTGTCCAGTCATTTTGATGTGGAATCTGAACCCAGTTGAAGGCCTCTACAATAGCACTCGCGTGACGGCCCCACCTCCCCCTAGGGCGTACCCCAGGGTTTAGCGGACCGCCTACCCAACTCTCGTCAGGACTCACTCACTCATAGCTCAACAAAAATAACGTACGTCCATAGAAAAATGCATAACACATCTATTTCAACTTCATATATACATTGCTGCTCAAATCCAGATACAAAACTTCTACACACCAAAATACTTCAAGGTGTTGACAAATCGAGTACAATCAACCCTAGTCTTAAAATTGAGTACAATCGAGTACAATCAACCCTAGTCGGGTACTAGCGTGAGTACAAATTTAAAATTCAAAACAACTAGACTGCGCTAGTCTGTACACGTCTCACGCCTCGCTCGTACCCCCTGTAAGGAAAACAAATGGCGTGAAATGAGCTAAAAGCCCAGTGAGGTTCCAAATAACAAATTGACCATTTTTAAAAGTACAAATATCAACGTAGCAAATTAATGAGCATCAAAAATTCATAAAAGTGAACCAAATACTTCAAGTAGCAAATCTCAAAGTGAACGAGTGTAAAAGTTTTTCAGAAGAAACAATAATCCAATAAGCAATAATCATTCCAAAGTATAAGGATACGGAGGGCTCTCAGGAGCCAAATTCCCATTGCATCACCAGAACTTGATCAAGTAATAGTTGACAATCCATCAACCTTCAAATAAGTAACCAATCCAGTAGAGCACCACTTACACTACTCTCCGTCCACCATTCACACCCCCTACTGGGCCCAAAATCCTCAATAAACACTGGTGGTAATACTCGAGTATACCGATTAGTCAAGGAGATAACACTCCACTCGACATCACTAACTACCCATGGTTCGTTATCTAATCGACCAAACCCTTGCCGGCTTGACTCGATTAACTAGCCAGTGGGGTTTGGGTTCCCAAAACTGTCGATGAGATAACATCTCCAATCGACTGAATCAAAATAAAAGTACGGAGACGGGAATGAGAGGCACCTCCCACTCGGATTGAGTGCGGTACATACTGCCGCTCCGCACTTATAACTCAAGTACAAGTATATCACGTCAATTGCAACAATAAACAAGTATATATCATGTTAAGGCAAGTGCGATAAAGTACACTCTTGCCCGATCAAACAAATTACATATCATTAAATCACATTGGTCAAGTATGGAAAACAAGTATCCAGTTCAATCAGGTATTTGGAAGCACTCACCAAAGGTCTAGTGCCTCTCAAAAGTCACGTTCAGGTCCAACTCCTTGGTTGGAGTCCAAATCTGTGATAAAATATCACTTACGAATGTAAAACTCTCTAGAGTTCGAAACATAGGAGTTTCGCTTCAAGAAAATCAAGTAAATGTAACTCGTTTAAGTAGTATTCAAGATACTTATCAAATTCCAAAAAATTCATGCTCGCTCGTTTAGTTATGATCAAGAAGTGGTTTCAACTTTAGAAGTTGCACTTGGTATCAAAGACCAGAAAAGTCGTCTTTTGAAAGGGTCACTACTTTCACTTTTCAAGGGTACGAGTTCCGGCAAAATTTTAGCTTATATACCTTGTGATACGAACGTCGCCAACCTTGTGACGAAACCCGTAAAAGATTAGCTTCAGGATCGACAAGAGGACACCAAGTTTGAAGCGGATGACCTCAACCCGTTAATTACGTGGTTAACGAACCTTGGTATAATGGTAGAAGATGCCACAACCTAGTGCGATTCTAGATTGATAAGTCACGAACACCTAGAGAAATTCTAAGGTATTCAAGAATCCTTAGAAAAACCAAGAAAACTCTCAAAATCTGATTTATTGATTGAATGCATAAACCATTGGAAGTGTGGGCTATTTATAGCCTTACATAGAGATGAACAACTAAATGTGGAACTAGTCTAGAGTTGTGGTCTTGACTAAGACTAACAATTATAGGCTTGACCAAACCTTATGAGGTCATCCCTTAGGTAAACAACCTTATGAGGTCATCGCTTAGGTAAATGACCTTATGAGGTCATCGCTTAGGTAAATAAAGCAAGGCTATGGACCATTAAACCCTTATTACAATGACTTAACTAAAACAGCAAATGTGACTAGAGAAGGGTCACACATGGTTCTCTTTGACGTGCACTACATGGATGACTTTCATTCCTTCATGCTCAAGCCCCTCAATGACCTTGGGGACAATTTCTTGGCCTTGTATCTCATGAACAAGTCCTTGGAGTTCCTCCCTCATTTTCTTAGCTCGTGCTCGAGTTACGGGTCCTAGGGGAACTCGAATAGTTCGCAATGGTGTCTCTTGGTTCGTATCATCCCCCTCCTCTTCAAAAGGATTTGTCCTCAAATCAGCTTCATCGTCTGCAAGAAAAGGAGATAGATCAGAGACATTGAATGTAGCGCTCACATTGTACTCACCGGGTAGGTCCAGTTTGTAAGCATTGTCATTGATGCGCTTGATGACTTGGAACGGCCCATCTCCTCGGGGAAGTAATTTATTGCGCCTTTGGACTGGGAACCTTTCCTTGCGTAGATGTAACCACACCCAGTCACCAGGTTCAAACACAACGCGTTGGCGTCCCTTGTTAACCCGTTGAGCAACTTGGTCCATCCTTCGCTCAATGTTTAGGCGTACCTGCTCGTGTAATTTCTTGACAAAATCTGCTCGTTTAGCACCATCCATGTTAATGTGCTCAGAAGAAGGTAAAGGTGATAAGTCTAGTGGTGTTAAAGGGTTAAAACCATAGACTATTTCAAATGGTGAAAAATGAGTAGAACTATGCACCGTGCGATTGTATGCAAACTCAACATGGGGTAAACACTCTTCCCAGGTTCTAATGTTTTTTCTAATGATGGCACGCAAGAGTGTAGATAGTGTACGATTGACAACCTCAGTTTGGCCATCAGTTTGTGGGTGACTAGTAGTAGAAAATAGCAATTTGGTACCCAATTTTCCCCACAAAGTTTTCCAAAAGTAACTCAAAAATTTGACATCCCTATCAGAGACAATTGTCCTAGGCATGCCATGCAATCTAATGATTTCTTTGAAAAACAAATCAGCAATGTGCGATGCATCATCTGTTTTGTGACATGGTATAAAATGTGCCATTTTTGAAAATCTGTCAACAATAACAAAGATGCTATCATTTCCCCTCTTTGACCTAGGCAACCCTAAAACAAAATCCATGGAAATGTCGGTCCAAGGTTCCTTAGGTACAGGTAAAGGACTATAAAGGCCATAGGGTTGAAGTTTAGACTTAGCTTTGTGGCAAGTAATGCATTTAGCCACCATTCGCTCCACATCTCGTTTCATCCTTGGCCAATGGAAGTGCTCTTGAAGGATAGCTAAGGTTTTAGCCACGCCAAAGTGTCCCATCAAGCCACCTCCGTGTGCTTCCCTAACTAGTAAAGAGCGAATAGAGCAATTAGGTATGCATAGTCGATTGAGGTAGAAAAGAAATCCATCAAGGATGTAGAATTTACCTTGAGTTGCTGAACCACAAGAATCATAAATACCTGAGAAATCTGGGTCATTGGTGTATAACTCTTTAACTAATTCAAATCCTAACAACCTTGCATCAAGTTGAGTGAGCAAAGAGTACCGACGTGATAATGCATCAGCAACAACATTAGTTTTCCCCACTTTGTACTTAATCACATAAGGGAAGGTTTCAATAAATGCAATCCACCTAACATGACGCTTATTCAACTTGTGTTGTGACTTAATGTGCTTAAGCGACTCATGATCAGTGTGTATGACAAATTCCCTTGGTCTCAAGTAATGTTGCCAAGTTTCTAAAGCACGGATTAAGGAGTACAACTCCTTATCATAAGTGGAATAGTTCAAAGCTGCTCCATTGAGTTTTTCACTAAAGTATGCAATTGGTTTGCCCTCTTGCATTAGGACAGCTCCAATACCCACCCCAGATGCATCACACTCTATTTCAAACATCTTGTCAAAGCATGGTAATGCAAGTAGTGGTGCATGTGTGAGTTGATGTTTAAGCATTTGGAAAGCACGTACTTGAGCATCTCTCCACACAAATGGCTCATTTTTCTTAATTACAGCAGTTAGAGGTGCAGCAATGGTACTAAAATCTTTAACAAATCGTCTATAAAAACTAGCAAGACCATGGAAGCTACGTACCTCACCCACCGTGCTTGGAGTAGGCCATTCTCGAATTGCTTTAACCTTCTCCTCGTCCACTTTGATTCCCTGTTTACTCACAACAAAGCCTAGGAAGACAAGTTGATCAGTACAAAAGGAGCACTTCTTAAGGTTAGCATAGAGCTTTTCCCTTCGAAGTACATCAAGAACAAGCTTCACATGTTCAACATGCTCATCGAAGCTCCTACTATAAATCAGGATATCGTCAAAATATACAACTACAAATTTTCCAAGGAATGGACGAAGTACATGGTTCATCAACCTCATGAACGTACTAGGTGCATTAGTTAGTCCAAATGGCATAACTAACCACTCGTACAAGCCATGTTTGGTTTTAAAGGCCGTTTTCCATTCATCCCCCTCTTTCATCCTAATTTGATGATAACCGCTTTTTAGATCAATTTTAGTGAAAATCACAGCACCATATAGCTCATCTAACATATCATCAAGTCTAGGAATAGGGTGACGATATTTTACCGTTATTGCATTAACAGCCCTACAGTCAGTGCACATTCGCCAACTTCCATCCTTTTTAGGCACCAAGATGACGGGAACCGCACATGGGCTCAAGCTTTCTCGTGCCCATCCCTTTGTTAGAAGCTCTTCGATTTGGCGTTGGAGCTCCTTTGTCTCATCTGGACCCATTTTGTAGGCTGGTCTGTTAGGAAGTGGGGCACCTGGAACCAAGTCAATTTGATGCTCAATTCCCCTTATTGGTGGTAGTCCATTTGGAATCTCATCGGGAAAGACATCCTCATAATCCTGCAAAAGAGAGACAATACTAGTTGGTAGAGTGTTAGTAAGATCACTTGTAACAACCAACACCTCTTTGCACAAAAGTACAAAGATGGGTGTATTAACACTCAAAGCTTTTCTTACTACATTGGCTTTTATCAATAGATTTTGCCTTTTCTCTCTCTTTTCAATTTTGGCCGGCTCACTATATGTTTTTTTCCTCTCAATTTTCTCGGCCTTATCATTTTCTGTTGAGCTCTCGATTTTTTCTATTTTTTTCTTCTCATTCTCAAGCTCGCTCTCCTTGATCAGGCTTTCTTGATCTTCACGAACTTGGATAGGAGTGAGTGGCACAAGCACAATCCTCTTCTCGCCTTGCTTGAAGGAGTATTTATTGGTAATGCCATCGAATGTAACTCCCTTGTCGAATTGCCATGGTCTCCCCAATAGTATGTGACATGCTTGCATAGGGACCACGTCGCATAACACCACGTCCTCATACTTTCCAATTCGGAAAGGTACTTGGACTTGCTTGGTCACACGAACATCCCCACTATCGTTCAACCATTGCAAACGATAAGGTGTTGGATGTCGTAGAGTGGGTAGTGCTAGTTTCTCCACCATCAAGGCACTAGCGACGTTAGCACAACTACCTCCATCTATGATCAAACTACATACCTTGCCTTTGATATAGCAACGGGTGTAGAAAATGTTCTCCCTTTGTGCATGGTCGGCAGCTTTCACTTGGGTTGCTAAGGCTCGTCTAACAACGAGTCCAACTCGTTCATCGACAGGCAATGCTTCCTCTTCTTCCTCTTCTTCCTCAAGGGATGGCAACTCCTCCTTCTCATCTTCATCATCGGTGAGAAACTCACCATTGGGTAAGATGATCATAGTGCGTTGGTTCGGGCATTGGCTAGCAATATGCCCTCGGCCTTGGCATTTGAAGCATCTAGTATCTCGATTTCGCCCCATGCTCGACTCAATGGCAGTCTTTGGTGTTGCCTTAGACTCCCACTTAGTCATATCCGGCCTTGGTCTTGAAGGGATGGAATTACTCGGCCCTTTATCCTCTTTCTTTGGTGGTGTAGTTCGGAGATAAGAGGGTGAAAAGTTGGAGTAACTCCGAGTCGAACCCCTCCTCTTAATCCTCCTTTCAATCTTGATGGCCTTTTCCACCAAATCCCCAAGTTCCACATAGTGGTGTAACTCTACTTGGTCAGCGATTTCGGGCCTTAGTCCGTTCAAGAAGCGTGCCATTGTTGCTTCTCGATCCTCCATGATGTCTGCCCGTAGCATGAGTATTTCCATTTCCTTGTGATAGTCCTCGACACTTCGTGCTCCTTGGTTGAGGGTTTGAAGCTTTTGGTACAAGTCACGGTAGTAGTGACTTGGTACGAAACGCTTCCTCATTAGTCGTCTTAGCTCCGTCCAAGTGTGTATGGTAGGTTCACGACTCCTCCTTCGACTAGTGGAGAGTTGATCCCACCACACAACGGCGTAGTCGGTGAATTCGACCACGGCCAACTTGACCTTTTGCTCCTCCGAGTAAGTATTGCAATCGAAGACAAGTTCAATCCGCTTCTCCCACTCTAAGTAGGCATCGGGGTCTGATCGTCCTTGGAAAGGCGGAATTTTCATCTTTATGCCCGGAATGTGGTCATTTGAAGGCCTAGCATCACGCTTGGACCTACTTTGCTTATGCTCATAATTGTTGTCTGAGTTAGAGTCGCTAGACTCATCTGCATAAGCCTTTCCACGGCTGCCTTTGGAGCTTCCATGAGACAACTCTAAGCTGTCAATGCGTTGGTGCATCAGTTCAAGTTTTTGGTCCATCATGCGTCCCAATTCGCCTTTGATTGCTTCTGTGAAAAGTTTAAGATCAAAAGCTTGGGAGCTTGCTCCCCCCTCGTTAGCCATGGTAGGGTAAAAAAAATAATAATGGAAAGAAGCAAAGTTTATCTCGCACACTTCCTCACGTGTTTACTCTCGCTCTCGTGTTTGAACACTCTAATGAATTCACCAAGGTATTTTCAAGGCTCCTCAGTCAACTCCTCGAAGAAGTTAGAACTCCTTCTAGTGTGGATCGACTTACCAACCAGGGTCACAAGATTGTAGCACTTTGAACGAAAAAAAAAAGAACAAAAGATGAAGGGACTAACCACGACTCAATGAATGACTCAAAGTTGAATTTTAAGGATCCTAGACAAAACTCTACCCAAAACTGGAATTTTGAGCTGCTGGTTGCTGCATTTCTGGTCAGTGTTTTGGTAGGTAAATGGACACTTAGAGGATTCAGAATGACACTTAAAACTGACCTAATGATGCACGAAAATTTTCAGAATTAATGATTGGACAGAAATCCCCAATGGTTGCAAAGATGGAATCTGAATGGAAGATGAATTTGTGTTGCGGTAGGATTGTTTTGGAAACCCAAGGCTGGCTTTTCTTCCTTAATCCTTTGGAAATGAGGATTAGTCTTCCTATTTACTGGTTCCCATGAATTCTAAGGTCAAGTTCAAGATTGGAATTGATTTGGTTGTTTTTGGGGACAAGGGTGAAAATTTGACTTGAACAGGTTGGAAATTTTGACTTGAATAGGCTGAATGTTCTTAGTCAAGAAAGAAGATTGTTATGGTGAAGACAAGGATTTTGGCAGCTGGAATTTTGCAGCCTTGTTGTTTACCAAGATTTGGTTCCCAAAACCCAGAAACTTCAAGATTCTTTCAAGAATTCAAGATGTTAATTTCCAGAATTCAAAAAACACGAAATTGAAGATGATTTCCTCCCCAAACAATCCAAGATTTCACGATTTGATCAAGACAGATTTTGGTTGTCTTCAAGAATCCCAACTAAAGTTCCAAGAACTTCAAGATTGTGGTTTTAAACAATCAGGAACTTCAAAAAACACAAGTTTTGATCAAGACAGATTTCCAGGAATTTTTGTAAGGTTAGCCAGCTATATATTATATATTTTTTTTTTGTATGTAAACAAGAACACAAGGTAATAACTAGATAGGACTCTAAAACCCTTGCTACAAACTGATTTTTTTTTCGGATGAACAGTAACCTCGAATGATCAAATAGAACAAAAGATTGGAATTGAATGGATATAACAGGATAGAAACAAGACTCAAACAAAGAATCAAGAATAAGACACAAAAAGAAAGGCTGGACCAAACAAGGCTAACCACAGCAATTAACAACAACTAGACACAAGTTTATGACGTAACAAATCTGGAAAAATAACGCAAGAACACGAAGTAACAAATCTGGAAATTGCGGATAGCAACTTAGAACACGAAAACAGAATTTTCGACAACTTGACTCGAAAAGGAAATAAATAAAAGGATATAACGTGATACCTCTTAATTAGCTCTGATTACCAACTGATACGAACGTCGCCAACCTTGTGACGAAACCCGTAAAAGATTAGCTTCAGGATCGACAAGAGGACACCAAGTTTGAAGCGGATGACCTCAACCCGTTAATCACGTGGTTAACGAACCTTGGTATAATGGTAGAAGACGCCACAACCTAGTGCGATTCTAGATTGATAAGTCACGAACACCTAGAGAAATTCTAAGGTATTCAAGAAGCCTTGGAGAAACCAAGAAAACTCTCAAAATCTGATTTATTGATTGAATGCATAAACCATTGGAAGTGTGGGCTATTTATAGCCTTACATAGAGATGAACAACTAAATGTGGAACTAGTCTAGAGTTGTGGTCTTGACTAAGACTAACAATTATAGGCTTGACCAAACCTTATGAGGTCATCCCTTAGGTAAACAACCTTATGAGGTCATCGCTTAGGTAAATGACCTTATGAGGTCATCGCTTAGGTAAATAAAGCAAGGCTATGGACCATTAAACCCTTATTACAATGACTTAACTAAAACAGCAAATGTGACTAGAGAAGGGTCACACATGGTTCTCTTTGACGTGCACTACATGGATGACTTTCATTCCTTCATGCTCAAGCCCCTCAATGACCTTGGGGACAATTTCTTGGCCTTGTATCTCATGAACAAGTCCTTGGAGTTCCTCCCTCATCTTCTTAGCTCGTGCTCGAGTTACGGGTCCTAGGGGAACTCGAATAGTTCGCAATGGTGTCTCTTGGTTCGTATCACCTTGACTAAAGAAAACTCGAATACCATAGGTGATCCAAGTCCACTTGACTCAAATCGTCGCTCAAGTTGCGGTTACATATGCCTAACCTTTGGGTGAAAATTTGGGCAGCACGCCCTTTGTGTTTACCTATTTTTCAGCCATTTATGGCTTTATTATTTTCCTCATTTCAACCCCCAAAAACACACATGAGCAATATTACAAACATAGCCTTCAATTAGGCTCCAAAAGCATCCAAACATAAGGCAATTCTAGCAAGTAAGCTTCACTTGGAAATTCAAAAATGGTGGCTAAAAGCTAAGTACAAGTCTTGACCACTTTATATTAAGGTAACTTGTAAATGTGTAAAATTTTGAGGAAATGAGAGATACATTAGTGAGAGAAGTTCAATAGGGATACATTTGAAGTCAAGGAAGTGGAAAATCAAGGTAAGAGGTTGGAAGTAGGCCGTCCGAGGTTTTAAAGTCAAGAAGTCCGTTTCTATGCTTCAGGAATCTACTGAGATGAATAGTAACAGTAAATTTTAAAAATTCACAACTCGAGTTCCACAAGTCAAAAAATTATGAACATTATACTGTTGTAAAATAGATTTTTAGTACTACCACATCCCAGAAGACACTTTTCAGAGATTCAAATCACAAATAGGCCAAATATTCGATCCAAGTCAAAAATTTATTTTCCTGAAGAAACAGGACATTCAAGCAGGACAGCCTACTTTGAGGTGTCACGGACAGCAGTACACACGGAGGAAAAATATGAAATTTTTACAGAACAAAGACCATGAGTCTAGTTTCAAATGCCACTGATGACACCTCAATCGGATTTTTCTACACCAAGATATAAGCATTTTACTGAGACTGGCCAATGAAATTCGAAAATCTGGAAACTCAATTTCACTTGTGAAAAACTCCTTTTTCTCTTTTAAAACCACAAGACTTTTATTCCAACCACCCATACATTAAGTATGACATTCATACCAGCAATTTTAACACAATTTAAGCATCAAATTTCAATAAAAACCAAAGATATATGTATATTCCAAGTTGAAAGTTTGTGTAAGATGTGTAGACTAAGATTAAATCATTTTCTATTCAATAGTCAAGGATTCTAAGTTGTTTGTAGTTTGGGTTTTGTTCCACTACACCAATGAATAGCAACCAGACTAGGCCAACCATCATGCAGCTTAACTGCACCAATTAATAGCAATCTAAAGTTTAAATACCCGCTTCCTCAAAACATTGACATGTTTTATAAAAGAAGAAAATTTGAACTTCACTACCATTATTCGTATACGGAACCTGGTCATATATCTAAAATGGAATTAATCATATACTGTGTCCTTGAAGAGCACTACTAAGGAACCAAGAGACATAGATATTGGCACCCAAATCCGTAGTATATTGGTTTTCAGCAGCTCTCTCTTTGAAGCATCTGACACGACTTCTACTTCAGAAACTCACCATTGTTACCTAAAAATAAAGCCAAGAGTGCAGCATAGCAACTAGAACAACTTATATACGACCTTCACAGCTAATAATCCTATATAACCTGAAGTAGATATATTTCATACTTTTGCTAACATGAGTCTTCAAGGAAATTCTAGTTACAAGCGTTAAAATTCTAGCTCCTTAGCCTTGGTCATCTCAGAATTTTCCAGCACCCAATCAGCCTTTAATCTAAATTTCTTCAGCAAGGTTCATTCATAGGTAAAGTCTAACATTCATGGCCATATACGTGAACTAGAGAGTGTATATCAGTCATGCACATAAGAAACAACCAGAAAATCTCAGCTTAGCTCAACAATATCGCATAACAGCTTCTATTGAGCATTTCCAGCACTTGGTCAGTATTTTAATCTTGATTTCTTCAGCCAAACCTCTTATAAACTTAAGGTAAATGTATAACATATGTTTCCTATCATTGGTTTTCCAGAAATTTCAAGCAATAAATCCAGTCTTTACAACCAATTTCTACTTCAATCCAACCTCAAGGAAATATACATCAAAAGCCCTCTAAAGTATGTGAAAGAAATTAAAGTTCCAAGTCATGTTACCTTTAAAACAAGCTAGAAGTTAACTCCCCTGTTTTGGTCCTTCTACTCGATCAAACAAACTGGAAATGGAAACAAGACTCAAGCTTCCTTTCAGTTTTCTCTAGCTGGTTCCTCTTGGCTGAAGTGGAAACAAAACAAGGGAAATTTCTTTGTTTTCCCCAAATTTTCTCTCGGCTGGAAGGTGGATGCAAGACACAACCTTTTCCTCTCTACTCTCTCTCGGCTAAGGTGGGACAAAACAAGTGAGCAGTCTTGGTTATCTTTGTTTTCTTTCTCTCAGCGGTTGAGTTAAAGAAAAGAAAAGAAACAAGGAGGAGTAACTTTGGCTTAGTCAACTTGCATGCTACTTGGACTTGGTCAAAAATGGAGGCAATGGAGAAATATCTCTCTCGGTTGGAAAATTGGAGCAAGACAAGGAAACAAAATCCTACATCTTTCCCTTAACTTTTCCTTAGTCAAAATTTTCAGCCAAGATAAGAAGACTATGGCTGCTATTTCCTCTCCAAGAAGCTCTCGGCCCTCTCTCTCTATTTTCTCTTAGTTTTTGCTTTGTTTTTCTTCTCATTTACTAACATCTTAGATATTTAAGATAAGGTCAAAGGTTACTTTTCCTCCACCAATCAAATTTAAGTTTAGAAAGACCTTAGAAGCTTCAAGGTTACTAATACACTTTCTTTGTTATTCCTCATATTATGATCCCAACAACTTTTAATCTTTGCAATTAACTTCATAGATCA